TGTGTGTGTGTGTGTGTATTTAAATAGTTTAGTAAAAACTGCCACCATCAGTTTAGTGATTATGTCACCTTTGACAATCTTGTGTCCTCCCACTTTACTCTAAGAGATATCAACAGAATCAGTTTATCTTGACCCTCTCACTTTACGCTTTTACGATAAACCCCGCAGGTCACGGCCCCTCCAGCGGACCAACAAACTGGTGGGTTGGCTCTTGATTAAGAAGTTTTCTGGAAAGGGCAGTTACCTGGGGTTGCAGTTATTGTCACTTTGCGAAAGAATGGTTTATGTAGTGCTCTTCTTGCATAGAAACACTGTGCTTTTCACGTGTTTATTGTGCAGGGTGACCCGTGTGATAAATACAACGGAATTATAATATTCTTGGATTAACTTTGTTACTAGTCGTTGCTGTATTGTCAGAAAACATTCGAATATAAAAAAAATAATTATATTACATTGCATTTATCCGTAATTCAATTGTCTTTACATTGACGATACAACAACAGTGGGGTCGTACAGGGAGTATACACAGGACTCTAAGGAGCAGCTCAGTGTGTGCCATTTAGCAGAAGCTTGGCAGTTTATAAGAGTAAGCTAGAAAATATAAAAAAAAATAAAAAAAAAGAAAAAAAAAAAAAAAAAAAACTGGAAGCTAACTATCTTTTTGAAAGGTGGCATGACCTTTGCTCCTGTCAACCTTCCATAATTAAACCTACATTCACCTGACCTCTGTGTTATTTATTTCTTCAGCTCTTAAAAGTTTTGTCCAGAATCAAAATCATACTTAGGTTTGCGATCCTCATCTTTTGACATGGGTTGTAATGAATGAGCAAGGATTTTTTTAAGCTTGCTGGTCACATTAAACATGCTTCTGAATTGTTTTTAGGAAAGAAAAAGATTATTCAGTTAACTTTTCCTTCATGGTCCTGTGTGCAGCTTGCTGGATGACAGGACGCTGCCAGGCTGTTAGAACTCGCCCCCGCGGGATAGTGAATTTACCCCGCGTGGGACGGAGTAAGCACCTGCCCTCGCGTTACCGCACACCAACAGTGCAGCCTAACTCCCAGATGCACCAGCATTATCCCCATGGCCCTCCGCGAGCAGCGCCACCAGACTTGCTGCACAAGACTCTGTCCACCAGTTGTTGACGCCTCAGAAATACCAGAGCCCAGAGAGGGAACCAGGTATAAATCCTGTACGTGCTTGTATCAAAGTAGTTGGTTATCTGAGAAATTTATTTGATCAAGATTGACCCTATTAGATTATTTTGGTACAAAGAAACATGTTGTGCAAGTGTAGTGAATATGCAGTGTTTGTCGCGTATTATCATACATAAGGAGAACAATGGTTATATTGGTAGTCTTATACAACACTGAACCCGGTAAGTATGCCTGCAGAAGATGACCAGATGAATCAACCCTCTGACCAGTCATTGTCACAAGCTCCCGATTACAAGGTAAGATCATATTGTTGTAGATGATTGGCATTTTAGGATGGACAGTGTACTGTCAGTGAGAATGAAATGTAAGATCCGTGGTTATTTGTTATTTGATTATTTTGCAAATATACGTTCTTCTTTTTTTTTTCTCTTTTCATGTTTCTCATATACAAATTATATCACAGATACAGTTCCAGCTTACGCAGATCTACAGTATAATTTTAATTTGTAGATGCGTTCTTTCATATTTTTCTTGTGCCTGCCAAGAAACTAACTGGGAGCTCCTTTGCTTGGTTATTTTTGTTCGGTGGTGAAGCCTGGCTGTTTGTCATGCGCCTATACTAGATGTTTCATTCAGCTGCTTCAGGAGGGGATCTTGCTCTTAGGAGGGCCGATGATGTGTTTGGTCCCAGCCTGTGTCCTCTCTCGTTGCTTTTTAATTGGTTACTGTTGTTTTGTACACACCTATAAGGCATATGAGATATTTGGCTGTAGCATGAAAGTCAGAACGTTAGTTTAAATTGACCCAAAGGTTGTGTGCGGTGACATGACAATACATTCTTTTTACGATTGACACGTCAATAAATTATTAGAGGCGGAAAGACAATATCTGTAATACTACTGGTATAAACACAATCAATACTTATTATATTATTATATCTATTATGCTATACTTATTACTTATTATTCGATCTATATTATCCTTACTTTATTAGTACTTACCACTACACCACGCTGTTTGAGACGGCAAATTTTAAGTCACATTATGCCACGAAATATCTGGTCTCAATGCATGGAACTACTACTTTTCGTTAGCACTCTGGACTTGTCTATGACATACACCTGCCCCCTCCCCCTACCATCGACCGGCACTGCCTCGCACACCATTCGCCCCTGTTGCTGGACCCCCTGACTACTGGACCTTCCCGATCGGATAAGCTCTCCCCATACCCCAGAACAACACCAAATCTAGCACCAGGGGAAGCTCATTGCCTTCTCACCTGTCTTCTTTTTGTTCTTCCAAGGGCTTGTTGTGTTGGTTAGTTCTTGGGTAGTTTGAAAGGCCTCTGATACTTGGTTTTTAGGTCCAGGATCCACTTGGCGAATGTCAACACCATGGGTTCTGGTGGTGGTATCAGTGATAGTTAAAAAATACTTGTTCAAAATGTACGCCATATTATGGTGGTGATTCTAAGCATGCATTTTATTATAGAACACGGCAGGCTGAAGTATTGATTGTGCTGACTACTGTTTAGGGGACTTTCTTACCAAAAATCTACACATCTCATCCAATCTCTCTTTTTTTTCACACACACACATACAGTTTAGCAAAGACTGTCACCATCAGTTCAGTGATGCAAGTGCAATTTACACATTTGATAAGGGCTCATTTTGTGTAGCAGACTTATAAATAGATACATACATAAATGTACAAATATTTCTACAGGTATTATTACTCATATTCAAACACATTTGATCTCGATATTATTATATAATTAAATATTATTATTGAAAAAAAGTCTTTCTAAAGGAGTTTACAAGGTAAACATGGTTATGAATGTTATATGACATAACTTAGAAAATAGGAAAACAGCAAGACCAGGAAAGGAAGTAAAACAGCCAAAGGGATTAAGGAGTGAAATCATGACAATAAAATGCATGGACATCTTATAGATTACATGTTATTGGGAAATATGGGCAGTAGGACATGCAGAGGGCACTGAGGATTGGCCAGGGGGAGAATTTCATCAAAGTGTGTTTTACATACTCAGTGGGTCAGCCCATCCGAAATAGTTGCCTGGTGAAAGTGCAGACGTTACACGTGAGACGTACAGTTACAGGAGGTAGGGGAGGTGAAAACAAAAGTGTCCTTATGTTTTAGTAGTGGGAGGATGAGGGAACCCCATCAGTGGTTCTCAGAGTGGAAAACAAACTGACAGACTGTAGTAAGAGTGAGAAAAATTAAATAATCTCAGTTAAGTTTGTGAAAGTATGGACAGACTCAATTTGAAATGTATTGTCTTCATTTTCAACTCTGATTAAGAGGATTCAACTGTTACTACATTAGGCAGTACAACGGGGTCAAGGATGAGATAGGAAATAATATCAAAGCATAGAGAGCTTGAAGAGTGGAGCATTGGCTCCATCTAGAGGCCAAGAGCAGTATGGGCAGGCACACTCACAGCACTGGGAGGCCGCAAATGGCAGTGGGCGACTCTGAACGTCATCCTGAAGAGTGTACTAAAGAGGAGAGAGAGCGGAAAAACAGCAGGCATCAAGTATGTATTTCATGACGTCATATTGTTATTATTACCACAGTAATTAACTAGCGTCACCCTATCAGGATAAACAAAGAAAATAAATATAGCACTTTGCGTCAGTGGCACAAGTGGAAACAGAAACATACAAGCACTTCAAACTAGTAAAATTCAAACTAGCAGGACATAGAGTATGTTTATTATCACAACACACTAATGCACTTTTATTTATTTCATACAAAAAAAGCAGTAAAATTTACCTCATCATCAATTCCCATGGTATTGATGCGTACCAGCTTGCCTGTCCAGTACTGTGCCTCATCATCTGGGATGTCTGGTACCGAAACATGCAAATCAAATGTGAACCTGTGTTTGAAGCCAACATCCCGCTCACTCATATTCCAGGATGGCATTATAAGACATTTATGACTTATGAATTTCTCATGAGCGTCTTAAGAATGAGAAAATGAAAATACTTTGTTAGCAATGGCCACAAACTGTTAAGGGACCAGAAATATCAAGAACATTTTCCATCACAGAGGCCAAAGGCACATACAACTAGAGCTACATACTGCATGTGGCTCAACATTGATGTATCCATAAGCAGAGTGTTTTCACTCATACTTTCCCCACTTAACCCAACCTCTGCAACTACTGTATATCTATTACCTGAGACTAGATTACTGTTGTATTCTTGGTCCCTAACATGAGTCTTCATACTAAAGAAAATAACAAACACATTGCTTTATAACAAAGTCAAAGTTTTAAAACTTGGACTGGGGAAAAAGTGGAACCGCACAAGCATTTTTAAAATGAAACTTGGTAATGATCAGATCTTTTTTAATGGTTGTAGTGTTTTATACTTGTCTGACTGTAATGTTAGTTCGGGGTTGCTTGGATGAAGTGCATTTTTGATTGTGTCGGGTGGAAATTGGCTGTCGAGATAACCCTGACACACTGTCACATGCTGTTACCGTCAGTGTTGATTAATGTGCACCGTCCTGTATAAATAAAAATAATAGTTATAAATAAGTATCAGATCAGGTGCTCTCAACATTCCCACTTTTCAGGGGGATTTGCGCTGCTCTGTTGACAGATGCACATTAAAAGACCACACACAAAAGGCCAGGGCTTCAAAGACACACCGACCCCCAGCTTTAATGAATGGCTCTGGTGGCACAGAGAGTCATGATGGCCTCCTGCAACCTTGAAAGGTCTCCTCTTAAAACAGAGAAAGAGTCTCCCTCCCACTCAGTGGACAGACACCCTGCTTTAGCTTTGATGCCTTTTGATCACAAGGCTGAGCCCTATGTGCGGAGATACTGTAGGTAGAGCTGCAGGAGGAGCACAGGGGACATTTCACCCTGCAATCTTGAAGAGCATTGGAGGAATAAAATGAACTTTATAGCATAAGTCAAATGATACTGTTACTTATCAGTGGGACTTCAATCTGAAATCATTTCTATCATGTTAATCAAGTAGTTTCTAGGGGGCTGGATAATAAAATCAAACAGTGTGATGAGTGTTATGTGGCTACCACTATGAAAACATTAAAGCTCTTCTGATCAATATTTTTATATTAATACGTTTACTAAAAGCATTCACCCTCATATTGTGATATCAGTGAACTAGAAATCTTTTAGCCTCTTTAATGGTTTGGTTTGGTGTCAGTGCTCTGGTCGGGATTCAATCTATGTGCTTGAGGCCAAGCTACAGTGGTACCAGAGCAATCAGTGTCCTTTGACTTCCCAGATAATTCAAACTGTCTGAGGCAGTCAGGTTAACAGCAGGCAGCTGTTTTCAGGAAAAAAAAAAAACACTGCATACTAGCTTCCCAGCACCAAACAGCAGACAGACAAAGTTAGCGACTAGCTGGTGAAGCAAGCTGAACATCTAGCAGCTCAAGAGTTGGTGGAGACCAAACAAGAGCCAACAGGAGCGAAAATTGGACATATTAACAAGATAGACAAAAAAACAACAACAAATGAATGCTAAGGTTGCTGGATGTGTAAATGGGAAATTGTTTTCCAACATGTTACAACATTTATAAGACATGTCAGGGTTATGTGTCTGTGTCTGTATTTCCTCTGCCCCAAAGTGGCCAGAAAAGAAACAAAAAACAATCAATGCAGCTTTAAATGAATGTATATGTAAATGTTGCTGTGGATAATTCCAGAAAACAGTTAGTACGTGGCTAATGGACCTAAACTCAAGGCTGTGAGTTTATTTCCATTAGTCACTTACTCACTGCTCTCCTCTTCTTCATGTTAGCAATATATATAAAAGCATTCTTAATGGTTCCTTAATCCTGTTGGCCACAATGGAAAAAGCTGGAAAAGACAAAATTATATTTACTGAACCTAAGTTAATAAAGGAGGATCTGCCATTGATGAGTCAGTGCCCTCAATTTAGGCAGGACAGAAACTCCTCATCCCCAATGGAACCAGACAGAGGACATTAGACAGTCAGACGGATATCTAAGAGTGCCCTGGTGTTAGTTATTCAACATAGAGTAAGTGTCCTTCTTCACTTCATGCAATGAGTAATCATGTGGAGTATGTTGTTCATATGTTCCCTGGTATATTTTCTATTTGAGTTAAGATGACAGATCAATGCAAAATATGCTTGCGTAAGACTACAGGACACAAAGACGTCACCGATTTGTCACACAGCGCCTCAGGCTGGATATTTCTCCCTGTGTAGCCTCAGAAACAGACTGCTGACATTTCAGCAGGAAACATGTGCGGCCTTTGTGTAACTCAGTGGGTCAAGGTTTGATTTGCCCTAAGGTAACCAGGATCACTAATGTACTCCATCACTCATCACACACTGTAGTCAGGGAAATGTCTTACAAAAGAACCTGAACCTTTAGTGTGGTTTACTCATTGGAAATGTGCCTCATTCTGGAAGTTTAACATGCTGCAAAAAATACAAAGCAGCTGACAAAAATGGTAAATGGCCTACACTCAGAGTGCTTTACACTACATGACACATTCACCCATTCACACAGTGCACCAACTGCTCATCAGAAAAATAAACTAATACTATGACTGGTGAGCAACGCGCTCTACCTCCTGAGCCTCAGTTGGAAACAACTTACAGATTGATAGCTCTTTCTCAATTCTAGGGGTGGTGGTGCACGGTCGTTCTGAGTTGGCGGAGTGATTTGTCTGGTGAATTCTTATATCAAACAAGACTGTGGCATGCTAGCTATTTACACGGCCCCGTGTGGTCGGGGTCCAACTAAGAGGGACAAGTGGCATTCAACCATAAGAGATCCACTTGACAAAAAGGGAATCGGCAACTCTGATATCTCACCAAAAGGCAGCTCGAAGCGAGTATCCAGTAGGACTCTGTGAGGTGTCGGGTTCTTGGTGCCATATATCTCATCCGCCTTCATCAGGACCTCTGCATCCAGAAAGATCCAGTCGCCTGAGCCCTCCTGGAATTAAACAAAAATAAAATAACAAAAACTTGCAAGATCAGTAGAGAAATGCAAAAAAGCACCCCTGTTTTTAGATGACTTTTTTAGTATTTTGAGTTCTTCCTTCTGTATGTGATTTGTGTGTGAGTGCATATTCTAACCTCCTCTGACTGTTGGATACTTTTTAGAGGAAGCCAGGCTGTCCCCACCATGGTGTCCCAGATGAGACCTTTGTTCCACACCTCAACAATGAGGCCGAGGTCCAGCCGGTTGATCTCACTGAGGAAAAAAGGCAGAATTCAGTTATCAAGTAATGTCAACCTTGTTCAAAAAAAAAAAAAACCTTCCTGATAAACAGTGTGGGAAATGCCAGCGGATAAAAGAGCAGGACAATAACTGCTTAGTTCGAGGCTTTGCTATTACAATAAAAAAAAAAAAAAAAGTTCCAGTGTGTCATTTGATTCACACTCAATGAACCAGAAATTTCTACATAATTACTGCCAGGCCCTAGCACTGGCTGCTAACAAAGGCTATTTCCTCTTTTTGTTGTGTATTAGCTGTCATAATCCATTCAAGCCCTGTTTTGTCATTCAACACGCTATTCAAAGGGCTCAAAAACAGCTTGATGACAGCAACAAAATGGGATATCAAATTTGAAAGGAGCCGCGTGACCAGGGCATTTGCATATTCTCATCCGTGGCAGTTTACAACTATTGACAGGCCAAACAAAAGGAAGATGAGAGAAAAGATAATCAAAGAGAGCAGCTAATTGAGAGAAGTGCAGGGGAGGGCGATTAGTGTCCGGGGTGTCCAGGTGCAGAGGTATAGGCTTTCTAAATCATGTGCTCATTCAAAATGGCACAGAATTAATTAATCTAGTGAGGGATTGAAATCCAACTGTTGCCAATTTTAACTGAGAGACATCCAACACACACAAAAATAAAAATACTGCAAATTCACTTTTGTTCTCTAACTGACTGGACTTACAAATGCCTGAAACCTGAAAGTAAGCACTTATCTCAACAAGATGTGGCCAGTCTCTCCCACATCACTTTATAACCACTTAAAGCAATTAAGAAATGCATTAAGCTTAATTAGAGGTTCCCATTCCAGTGCAAACCAACATGAGCAATTTCAGTGCATTAAGCAACAAGGTGGATTTTTATAAAACATTTTCACCACTTTCGTCCTCAGTGTGGGGTTTCGCTAACCCACAATTCTTCTAACAGTCTTTGTGCTAAGCTAACCAGCTGCTAGCTTCATATTTACCAGAGAGACTTGAGGCTGATCTTTTCATCCATCTCTCAACAATGTCAAATTCTTAACTAAACAACTTACACATCTTTCAAGCACATCTAAAAAAAAAATTATAAGCGGAATAAGCCGCAAGTTAGCTGCTGGAAATGTGTAATTCCTTTGAAATGATTTTAGCTGAGCTGAGTCATCCTCTCGGAGTGTTTAATAAATATATTTTGTAATACCAGGTGGTGCTGAGCATTTGCTGGAAGCGCAGATGAATGATTATGTTTTATGTTGAATTAGACATAGCTGACACATCATTAATGGACAGTAGAAGGATGAAGGTCTGGAAAAACAAACACTGTTGCAATCAGAGTTCACAAAAGACAAACAATGACACACATGCAACGACGTGCTGACTCTCTCGTCACCATAGATACCTTTCACAAGGAAAGTAAAACGAGGAAATTAAACCAATGAATTACCAGGAGGAAATGAACAGCAGCTGTTAATCAAGATAATTTCCTAGAAGGAGTTGCACAGACATCTTTCCCATAGTTCTAAGCACTACGCACGAACTAGGGTGGGGAAATGTAAAAATGTATAAAAATAACGATCATTAACAAAGAATACGGCTCATATGGGGTTTCAGAGCTCCTGGACCATTTCTTTTTGTATTCACAGCACAGAATCACAATAAACATGACTCAAAGGGCAGTTTGCATACACTGTATGCATGACGCAGAAGGACGCACCATGTACTATTTCTCATAGATTGTCTTTTTAAGATAAACGCCAAGCAGGTCTTCTGAAGTGCACTACATCGAGGCAGTGCAATTTCACCAAATACCTAAAACTTGTGTTCTCACTGCAGAAAGATGGCATTCAGGAATGACTTTCATGGCAATACAGTAGAAGCGGTTAATTTAAATTAAAGTTTAGTATAATATGCATGTGTTTAGGTCAATAAATCCTACTGTGTTTAATAACTTACAACATGAAATCCTGTTCCCAGCAGGGCTGGTCCCCTCGAACAGTGATAGTCGTGCTCTTGACATTCTGCACCTTCAGTGTCACGTAGGTGTTGAACTTGTCTGAAACAAAGGAAAAGGGAGATTTTAGTTCAAATTATAGTGAGGCTGAAATAATATACTGAGAACATATGGGGGTGGGGGGGCGTTACAAAAAAAAAGGGAGTAAATGGTATGGAAGATTAGTACAGTGTTAATAGGCAGCAGATCACATGTTTAAACTAATATACTTTGGCTTTGTGTGCGTAAAAAAGACATCAGGCGTGAGAGTGAAAGACGATAAGTCCCCCCACCCCCCCCACTATGTCAAGCCAAGCCAGGTCAGGCCAGGCCAGGCCAGACCAGACCAGAGCAGAGAACTGACCCTGTTAATCTCCAAAGAGAGCCAACCCCACACAGCAGATACAAGCACAGGATACAGCTGCCTGTATGTCTCTCCTGCACTGTGAGTTACAGCTTCTCTTGACACTACTCTAAACATACAGTATGTATGTAACAGAGGAAGCAGGTCTGCTCATGATGTAATGAAGTCCCTCCTGACCTGTTACTATTGCAGAAAAGGTCTCTGTCAGCCCTGATACCATCAAGACTAAAACTGAAACTTAGTTAGGTCATAGGTGACGGCAGCCTGTGCAAACAGCACGGTCTACAAACAAAGCCTAAAGATGACAGCTCGCCATTTCTGTAGTAAGTGATCACTGCTGGAACTCTTCTCAACCTGGCAGGTGACATGGATTCAAGTGCCTATCTGACAGTCTGTCAGTCTGTGTAGACGACTTTCACACCCAGTGATCTCCGTCATCCTCCTCTCAGCCGCTAGTGTCGGACCGCAGAGTCACAACAACCGTCTGCACCAGCTGTCAGCTCTGGGCAGGGTGATGGGTAACGGGGAGGGGTGGAAGGGGATTAGACGGCCCGTGACACAAGCGCCACTTTCCATTTCCCGCACTAAGGCGAGGGAGCATCAACACGTGCCCGTTGATGTGCTCAGCGTCGCTCTAGTAGTTACCAGTCCTGCAAAATCCAACCCCCTACCTGGGCACAAGAGCAGCTGGAGGAGCTGGAGGAACGGCTTAGATTGAAATGATGGTCTTGAGTATGGGCTGTGTGACTGACTGGGACGGGCTGTATGGATCACATTATATCCAACTTCATGTTTTAACATCAACGTATATAATACGATTTGGGAAATTCAATTGTGTCTGTTATTGGCTGACCCACTGAATTAAATAGGAACAACTGAAGATACTTCACCACATTGAAGTGTTACTATTCAGTGATTGCCAACATTGTTCACAATGGCCTAATACATCTAGAGATATTTAAGGGACAGCTACCTTTGTATTAGTAAACTCTCCACACCCTATATGTCAATGAGGGTGGTCTAAATATTAGAAATCTCGTCTAGTTGTCTGAAGGATGAAAATATCAACGGCTGAAATGTCCGATGGTAAATATGCCAAATTAATAAATAAATACGTATATTCATTAGTAGCTTATTAAATAGCCTAATATTGTGTGATCTATAAGATATGTTTCCAAGACTACTTAAAAGGAAACTAATTATACAAATGTTGTTTTTTTTCCTTAGCAGGCGCTGAGCGTGGTCTCTGTCTGTAGCCTCTGTATGTGTATGTTCTTTACCTTTCTGCAGCTAATGATTTTTTTGCTCGATTTCATGTTTGCTAAAATCTCACATTGAGGTCTCCCAATTGCTTGTTTTAGCTGACCAGAGAACTGTCCAAAACCCCCAAATATTCAGTTTAGTATCGCAAAAGGAAAAAAAAAACCTTGTAAATCCTCATGATTTAAAAGCTGGAACTCAATTCTGTTTGAATTTGCGTGAAATGATTAATTATCAAAATAGACTAATCAATTAATTGGATAATCATTTCAGCTCTTCAAATTACAAACCACAGTAACAGAGTGCAATAATTACAGTATAAGATGTACCTAGTAAAATGGATTGAAAATTAAAACAGGGTTAAACGACTGTTTCTTGAATTTTCAGCACATTATACTAAGTTAGTTGGCATTAATAACCTTCTTTGAACCCTGAGTGTTGACCTCCGCGCACACACTACACAGTACAGTACACACACACACACACAAAATCCACCGTTTGGTCTGTGGGACATAAAAGTAAGGCATCAGCTGCTGCTGTGTAGACTGATCACATGACCACACTAAACAAAGATTTTGCTGGTTGCCCTGGCAACATATTGAAACATTTACTCTGCACATAGCCGTTAACACAGCAGCCTGATAAGTAAACTCTTGACACAATGAGACAACAAACAGTAGACACAGCTGGATTGTTACAACATTCCAATGACACACAACATAAATAAAGATTAAATTAGGCCCCAAAACAAAAGGCTGTACTGAAAGGACCCAGTGATGCCCCATGACCTGACGCTGTCTGAAAGGATCGTCCATCCTACAAGTAGCATGAGTGACAGGACGCAGACCTAATTATTGTCTTGAGAGGACAGTAGCAACAAAACGCAGGCATTATTACAAAGGAGCCTGGGGGATGCTCAAGCCTTTCCCTAATTAGATAGTCCATGCCCTGTGCCACATTTGGGCCAGCTCCCATGAATAGAAGAGATGAGATAAGGGAAGAGGATGTATGGATTAGATAAGAGCCACTTAGTGGCTGCGGGCCCTTTACAGCAGGTGCTGTCCACTATATGGCTGATACAATCTGCACTGTTGAGGAGGAAGGAGCAATCGCTGCCTGGAGCTATATACCTGCACACTAAGACCTGACTGATACTGGATTTATCAGGTCGATATTGACTTAAAGCATACAACAGGGAAAATAACAAAAACACAAAACATTTTTGGCAATGATCCCTTCAATTTAGTTTTAAAGAGTTGCGATAGAGGTCTTATTATCAGTGATGACCAAAGGAGTTAATATAAAATAAAAGTAACTTTTAAACAAGAAACTTCACTGGAAATATTCTTACAAAATAAAATCAGCCAGGCTGATATATCGATGGATGTCAGCTTATTACAGATAAAGTGGTATTGGTACACATGTTGGCTGATAAACAACAGTGCCTCCATTAGATTATTACCAGAAAGCAATGCAAAGTTTGTTTTTCAACTGAAAAATATTACACATAGTATATCTTGGTCACAATTATTTAGAACCGAATTTTAAAAATCCATATAAAAATGTATGTAAAAAAAATTTAAAAAATCAATAAATCAAATAAAAAAAATGTTGTCATGCATATTAACATATACATACATACTGATATATTCATGATAATGCAGTAGCAACTGGTATTACCGGCACTGCCAGTATCCTAGTCAGGGTACACCTAACCTAATCTCAAGTGGACATTGTAAAAAGTTAGCTTTGCAGGATCTTCCTCAGAGTGAGAACTGGTCCTAACATATTAAAATGCTTGACAACGCACATGTCTGTGTGCACATACTCTCATTCTCTCCTATGTTTATAATGCACACCCACTGCACCCACACACACACACACA